TCCCAAAATGCTTTCTTACAAAAACACTAAAATTCTCATTAGAGATTACCTGAGAACCTATTTTCATCGGTATTCTAACAAATCACCAATCAACCCCAGAAAATTCCAAAATGTATCATCCACCATGATTATTATTAAAAAGGACCGCCAGTATCATAATAAACGTTGACATGGTGGAGAATGAAGATTGTCGGTGTTTATCTAATAAAAATGACAGATTTACTAGTGTCCATTAATGATGTCGACCAATACCGAACAGGTTTTTGTTTTAGCGCCCACTTATAAACGATTCCAGTTTAGTGGAAGCCGCTTCACTGCAGGCAAGGTCAAGATTTTTGCTTTTCTTTGTCAAAATGTTTTTTTGAAACTTCAGGTTTTCCCATGGGAAAAAACTCATCTTTACATGATGAAATGTTATCGTTGGATAAATACAATATTAAAAATGACTCCTCATTGTTTTTTATGATACACTGAAAAAAATAGGCTGTTGAAACAAACAAAAAAGATATTAATTCAAATCTTTATGCACTTTAAATACAAGCAATGGTTTTTGCACGTTTACTTAACCATCTAAAAATGTCAAATTGTATTGTTTAATTGAACAACAAATATTAGTCAAATGAACAAAATGAGAAAATTTGTTCTAATCTGCTAATCTGGTTAATTAAACATTCTTGATATGTCGGAGTAATATTTCGAAAATGGTTGTGCTAACATTTTTAAGATGTTTTTAGCATATTAACTACACCAATAAAATGTTAAATTTAAATATTTTGCGCTAATGTTGGGTTAATTAAATTATGGAATTAATATAAAGAGAAAGAATTGAACCTTCCCTCGCCAGAGTTTTTGATTTGAGTGCGTTCCACCTACTTCAAATACCTACCGACAGGCAGCTGATTCGACCTCTATTGGAGGTGTTATCAGTCACTGATAATCAGTGTCGGGCAATTTGGTGTAGTGGAAGTTCCACTGTGGAACACACCGAAAACAAACGGCTACCTGAGCTTATATACTCCTATCGTAAGCCAACTGAGGCGAGATGTAAGAACATCACGTGATCAACACCGTCTAATGACGTGGCGTGGGTGTTCGAAGCGCCCTTCACGGCAATTTTATGAATGCAAAATTAACAAATTTTAAAGTAACATTTACAATTTGTTAAATGAACAAATTTAATGTTTTGGATTTAAAGAGTAACTAAACGTTAATTTAATAGGTTTTTTAGGTAATCCTAAAAATTTCAGTATTTGATTCAACCAATTCCAGCTATTAAATCAAAATGGGTTAAATATTTTAATTCAAATAATTAGTTTATGTTAAATCAATATTTTAACTGTCAAATGAACAAATAAACTTTGACAAACTCTGACTATTGCTTTGACACCAATATATAGATTAATCGAATAGGTTTTTTGATGAAACAACATTTTCAAAAATGACATTTAGGCAAACGTTAACTCAACTACATTATTTTTTTCGGTGTATGGTTGTTTTGAAGAGTCAATCAAATCGGTGGAATTTCCTTTGTCCCTGGCCAAAACTAATAACGCGGATTGTTAATGTCTTCAGCACTTAATCATGGAAAGACGCGCAGACCACCGTCCGGTGACAAAGTCGAGGAATTACCGCTCTCGATGAAAAAACCTCAATATTTCGAAGTACTCGGGCAAAAAGCGCGGCACAAAATACACTGAAAGAAATTTGTTGCTAAAAGTAAATACAAATTTATACTAAAAATTTTATACTAGTGCTTTACACATTTATACTACTGTTTATTATGAATGTATGGTAAATTTTGTAATACATTTATTGTAAAGAAGATATGTTAGATCTAAATAAAAATAAACTTACCCTTACTATAAAATGTAAACTATAAGTGAATTACAGCAAAAAAATATTGCTAGAAACACCATTTATATTGCTAGGGCAGCAATAGGCTGCTAACCAAACGAATATATTTGTTTTAGCAATGTATGTGGTAGTCTATATATGAAACATAAAATATATTTGCCCTAATTATTTTTTTATTTAACTTTAGTATATATTTCTTTCAGTGTAGATCAAACCTGCCGCTTCACAATTATGAATGTCAATATATCCTGAAATTGACAACAAATTATTAGCCTTTTGTGTGTAGCCGAACATCCATCATCAATTAGGATGGGAGCGAGTTTTTTCATCGGCGACTCCTGGCCCGGTTATGATTTTGCACACTATGCAGTAGCTGTCGGAATCAAATTCTCACGGAGTGAAATTCGCCAATTACCAATCTCGAGTTTTACACTTTTTGCCACTAAGATTCATCAGATTAATTTAATCTTTAATTTGGAATGCACCCAAGTGATAACCCTGAGGCATACCATAATAAATATTTTATATGTACGATTCTGTTTAAAATTGTGCACTCAAGATGGATCCTTGAAGCACACCATGACAAATGATTAAAATAATAATTTCAGGTACCTAATTTGTTTTTTTATTGTGGTAAAAAGGTGATTCTATTGACTTTATATAAATTTACCGGTTCCTATCTAATTCGTTTTTCGATCATTTGGGCGTTTCGTCAAACAGAAGCGAGTTTTTGTGTTTGGCCAGGTAGACGGAAATAAAGAGAAGCAATTTGTTGCGTAACCACTTTTTGCCACAATATTGTGAGTTATTGTTATAATTAATTAAAATAAGTTTTTATTGATGAATAAGACTTGAATTTATGGGGATAATTAGAGTTCGAAAACAATGTTTTAATAATTAAATAAAGTAATATAAAATGAGTGGATGAATTTATAGCGAACATTAATGCGTTATTAAAAATAGAAAATACAAGAATCGTTAAAATCCTAATGGCCACTAAAATAAGATTGTTATAAAATAATTGAAATCAGCCGTCGGAAGAGTCGCGCATTTTTTCGCCGATGCTCTTGTAAATTGTAACAATAAAAGGCGACGTAATTCGTTCTTATTACCGGCAATTTGAAGTTAGTTTATATGAACGCGGCCTCTGCGGCATTTGGAAAATTGAAATTCTCCAAGCGAACAGATGAGTTCAAACGAACCGCTGCGTCACACAATGGGACCTCGCGAACATCGAACGCTCTGCTTTTATTTAACCACCGACACCAAAAAATCTTTTTTAGAAATAAATATATAAATTACGAAATATTGAATTATAGTAGTTTTGTCAAATTTATAACAATTTGTTGGAATTTATTTAAAATTATAGACAAATTTGACAAGACATAAGAACATATTTTTGGCGATACACAAGAACTAAACGTAACTCAAAAATATATACCTAAGTGTTTAAAAAAAAATAATTTTTGTGTTGTTTGATTGATTGATTTCACTACGTTTTGATTGGTGGTCTATAATTGTCCTTAGGTGGTACCTAAAGGTAAAATATTTCGGAACTTTTGCTTACATACTAGCCATCTACCCAAATTAAATCAAATCAAATCTAATAATAAATTTCTTAAGGCAATTTTTATTTTTTTAGTATTTTTTGATTTATAATACTTTTTTTTTGTAAAACTGTTAAGAAATGTTAAAAAAGGAACAAGAACAATTTTAAAAACATTATTAGAACAAGGATATTTTAAAGGCAGCTTTGACAGGATGAAGTTTTTTTAGTTTTAAATTGATCAGATAAAAAAAATTATATAAATTTTGTTAACTTAAAAGGATTTTTCGATTTTTATATAGCGCTTTAACTTTTTTTCACATAAATCATTTTACTTGAATTTTGTAAAAAAATTATTTTTAAACAGACGCAACTTGATAAAAAAACAAGGACAATATTAGTAAATATTTAAAAGACAAGTTTTAATTAAGGAATATTTAAGGATAATTTAAATAGAATTGTTGTTTTTTTCGATTAATCTCAAATCAAATTTACAATAATAAATTTCTTAAGGCTATTTTTAATTTTTTAGTATTTTTTGATTTATAGAACTATTTTTTTTGCAAAACTGTTAAGAAATATTAAAAAAGAAACAAGAACAATTTCAAAAACATTATTAAACTCAAGGATATTTTAAAGGCAGCTTTGACAGGATGAAGTTTTTTAGTTTTAAATTGATGAGATAAAAAAATTATATAAATTTTTAGATTTTTATATCGCGCTTTAACTTTTTTTCACATAAATCATTTTACTTGAATTTCGTAAAAAAAATTATTTTTTTAACAAACGCAACTAAAAAATAAAAAAAAGAAGGACAATATTAGTAAATATTTTGTTTTAATTAAGAAATATTTAAGGATAATTTAAATAGAATTGTTGTTTTTTTAGATTAATCAAAATATAAAATTAGTTATCGTTATCGTTATAATTTGTTTGAAATATAGAATATAGGTTTAAGGATTTTTTATAGACAAATTTGATAATATGACACCTTTTATAACACAATGAGTTATCGTGTCAATTTAACAGAAAATATTATTAAACGTAGTAATGTAGTAATATTAGGATAAAAAGGATTAAAATACAGGCGTTATCTTTTTTGGAAAAAATAAGAAAAATAAGAATAATGTGTAATAATTTTTTAATAAATTAAAATATTTTATGATAAACAAATATATTGTTATAAATTTATTGGCAAAAAAAAAACAAGAATCCTTTAAATTTATTATAATATTTTTGTCAATAAATAAACATCTCAAAATTAAAAAAACTCCATCTATAAAAACATGAAACAAATTTGACAAACAATTTTTCTAGAGTTGTGTAGGTGTTCGGTTTAGGTGTGTAATTTCGATAATGTTTCTCGGTTGTCAGTGTTTAATGGTGAAGACATCGTTTAAGGTCTAGTGTTTCAATGGACGGCGTTTTTTGATAATCCAAGCCTAATATTTATTTCGGTGTTTATGTTCGAAAATGAAGTGGATAATTTACGGTTTGAGGCGCGAGCAGAGGACATTAATGTATTGAGTAAAAACCGCCCAGGTGGTTGGAGAGACCGAGAAGAAGAGTATCGGGTTGCACGACGAGTCCTTGGACTTACCGTTGTTGTTGTTGGTTTTGGTGGTGTCGTTGTTTGGCGGCTGGTCCTCGTCCTCTAGGAGACGGATAGGCCTGGCCTGCTTCCGTCGAGACATCCCCGAAAGAAACCAAAAGCACCGAGTCACCAACCAAACAGTTCACTAGCACTTGGTCCAACTTGCGGAGAAGACACTGAACTATAACGATATTGTCGATGGTTGCAGCATTGCACTCATGTTGTTATCAGAGTTATGATGATGATGTTATCGTGATTGGCGCAGCGGGCATACGATCAGTTTGACGCCGCGATGCTGTCTGTTGGAGCGGCGATTAATGGTGGGGAGTCGGAGATAAGGGCGGCGCGTCCGCTCAACCCTCGTGCAGGGTCGTTCGTACTCGCACACTTGCGTACAACAATCGTCTTTTCAACACCGCCGATGCCGCTACTAGTCCATAGCACTTGCAGGAGTCTCGCATCGGACTCCGGGCTTCTCTCGGATCGACCTTCAGCAACGTTGGTGCTTTCGTCCTCGCGCTCGCAGTGTGACTGCTGAGCGAGTGTCTTGGCCGGCCCAGCAGGCTCCTCCTCCTCCCGAGTTACCTGCCGCGCCGGCACGCAGAGAGGGGTTAAATTCGCTCATTCAGACCAACGCGCCACTTCTAACCAATTCATAAATCACTGATGATATTTCGCTGCCGTCCGCCGCGGTCCCTACGCTCAACTCTTCTCTCACTGCTGCCTCCTGCTTGTCCAATAGATGAAGCTTTTGAATATTCATATGCACAATATTGCAGCAACGCGTCTTATTGCTCACTACAGACTTGATTCTTGTCCACAAAATCACGTTTTAATATTGTTTACACTGTTATAAAAATCAGATTTGTTAACATGAGTTTGTAAATTTTATTTTGTAAAATTTTAACATAATTTTTTGTAGAAAACAAGGGTTTGTAATTATTTTAACAAAGAACAATATTTTACCGAAAGTTTTGTAAATGTAATATGCATTTTGTTAATTTTAAAGGTTACAGATTATTTTGTTAATGCTTATCAAATTATTTTGTGAATTCAGGCAGTCAATCAAAACATTTTCCTTTAACAATACTCATCAAGAAGTTTAACAGACTGTATGGTGCGGAACACAAACGAAATTATGATTCCTCGTCCTTGAAATCATTCACTGCGGTGAGACGAAAGTAAGTGGTGCCATCTACCGTCTTTCGATATGGTCTTTTATATGTTTAAGACGGTAGATGGCACCACTTACTTTCGTCTCACCGTAGTGAATGATGTCAAGACCTATATTAGGACAAGGAATCATAATTTCGTTCGCACCATACAGCAACTCGGTACTGATGAGTTCCAATAAAGCGAAACAGCTGTTTATCGATGCTGGTGAGGAACACGAACGAAATTAAAGAAAAGCGGAGACGAAATAATTACATCAGTAAGTTTTGTATTAGTACTGATAAATTATTGTACCAAATTTCATTATAATTTGATGATTTCAAAATTATGTTATTTAATTGTGTGTATGAATTTTGTGATTATTTAGATAGGTATTTGTTAAAATTAACAAAAATTTTTTTTCTGTGTAAGGTTCAATGCAATCATTTTTTAAATGAATCAGAAAAATTATATTTTATTTAAAATTAACATTTGTTGTGTCGATTTACAATTGAAAACATTTCAGGGCACCTTCTTGAAATCTTTTCTTCAGTAAAAATCGAGTTTTTATGATATGGTTTTGTTGTCTTACACGGTGCAGACATACATATAGGTACATAACATTAATATTGCATTACTAAGTAGTTTGTGATTATGACAAACATTTTGTTGATTAAATAATAGAATCCTATATCCATAACTCAATCATAATTTTTTCAAAAAATACCTTATTTTTACAAACCTTTTTGTAGCCCAGTAGCAAAAGTATTTGTTGGAAATTGGGAACTTAAATGCAAAGAATTTTGATAAGAAAACACGTTACGTATTAGAATAAAGTAAGCAGAAATATAAGTTGCAGACGCTGAAATCAGTTGAACTTGTTGATGCGTATTGTCAGTGGGAAATGTTTTGATTGACTGCCTGAAACACGATTTGTTAAACATTAACAAAATAATCTATAACCTTTGAAATTATCAAAATGCTTACAAAACTGCATATTACCTTTACAAAACTTTCAGTAAAATATTTTCCTTTGTTAAAATAATTACAAACCCTGGTTTTCTACAAAAAAAATATGTTAAAATTTTACAAAATAAAATTAACAAACAACAAACTCATTTTAACAAATAATAGTAATAAGCAAAATTTACCAAAGACTACCTATTGAAATGAACTTCCAAATATTATTTTTCAATGTCATTCTATCATTTATGCTTTATGCCATTCTCGCGGTATTATCTTTTCTTGTGCATTTTGTTGGTTATCGTTTAGTCCTGTTATATTTCCAAATTAATTATTTAATTGTGTATATTTATTAATAAGTTTACCTACTAATTATTTCTATTAAACTCTTGTTTTATTCACGTTTAATAAAAACGAATCTTAACCTTAATTAGTCATACCCATATAACTACATATACCTACTCTTTATTTTTGTTGTTGTTTTTGTGTGTCATACTTTTATAGTATTTTTCCAGTAATTTTAAGTTTGTACACATGCGTAGAAGACACATTTTCAACGTTTTTGTAATTCTTGCATTTAGTTTTGTAATTAGCACTTTCTAGTCAAGGATGGTTGCCAAACAGCACACGTATGCTAAATATACGAGTTTGGGAATCATTATCAAACACAAAAGGCTCACTCCCTAAATACCAGGGCTGTCCCCAATTTACTGGATTTTTTAGTAACCTTTCCAAAAATCCATCTTCGTCTACTAAACTCGTGCCAATTTAAAAAAAAATCGATACATTTTTAATAATTTTTAAAAATTTAAGAATTCCTAAAAATCTTAAACTTATTTTTATAAAATGCAAAATTACAAAAAAAATTAAATTTTTAAAATTAGTTAAAAAAATTAAACCCACCAAAAATATTTCAAAATAACTTAAAGAACATCATATAAATGCAAATCTATAGTTCATGCATGAGGCTGAAAATTTAAATTATTGTGAAATAACACTCCTAAATATTTAATTTGATTTTCGTGTACTATATTTTTATCATTTATTAGTATATTTATGATTCTAGTATCGATTTTACTTAATTTATATTTTCTCTCAAACACGCAGTACTTTTATATATATTTAATATATACATACAGAGTATTCTCTGCATGCAGAGTATACTCTGTATTAGGGTGATTCATTTCCGCAAAGTTTTTGTTTTCTTCGGTGCTCAAGCAAAATATTAATCTGCATATAGAAAAAAAAATTCTCAACAAGTTTGAGCTCTTAATATCAATTTTAAGTACTTGCAGTTTAAATTTAAAGTTTTCCCATTTAAAAAGCATGTAAAAAAATGTTTTTTTTTCAAATTTCTAATACTTACACACCCTTTGACAATATTGCAAATCGGTTTAATACACCTTATGGGGAATTTCACGCTCTTTAAAATTGCTTTTGAGTTTTTTTTTGTAACTCGCATTGGTTCACCAGTAGGAGTCGTCAAAGGACAGTTTTTGAAAAAAATCGGTTTTTTTTTTAATTTTTTCTAACAAACCGCAAAAAGTAGGGAGAAAAGTTTTTGTTTTCTTCGGTGCTCAAGCAAAATATTAATCTGCATATAGAAAAAAAAATTCTCAACAAGTTTGAGCTCCTAATATCAATTTTAAGTACTTGCAGTTTAAATTTAAAGTTTTCCCATTTAAAATGCATGTAATAAAAATGTTTTTTTTTCAAATTTCTAATGCTTACCCACCTTTGACAATATTGCAAATCGGTTTAATACACCTTATGGGGAATTTCACGCTCTTTAAAATTGCTTTTGAGTTTTTTTTTGTAACTCGCATTGGTTCACCAGTAGGAGTCGTCAAAGGACAGTTTTTGAAAAAAATCGTTTTTTTTTAAATTTTTTCTAACAAACCGCAAAAAGTAGGGAGAAAAGTTTTTGTTTTCTTCGGTGCTCAAGCAAAATATTAATCTGCATATAGAAAAAAAAATTCTCAACAAGTTTGAGCTCTTAATATAAATTTTAAGTACTTACTATTTAAATTTAAAGTTTTACCGTTTAAAATGCATGTAAAAAATATATATTTTTTTTCAAATTTCTAATGCTTACCCACCTTTGACAATATTGCAAATCGGTTTAATACACCTTATGGGGAATTTCACGCTCTTTAAAATTGCTTTTGAGTTTTTTTTTGTAACTCGCATTGGTTCACCAGTAGGAGTCGTCAAAGGACAGTTTTTGAAAAAAATCGTTTTTTTTTTAAATTTTTTCTAACAAACCGCAAAAAGTAAGGAGAAAAAAGGGCTGAATCATAAAAAAAAGTTATCCAACCAATATTTAATGAATTTACAGCCATTTTTATAACTGAAAACGTAAGAAATTGATAATTACCAACTCATAATGTTATTTAGATTGATTTTTTCTATTTATTATCATTATATTTCCCTACACTAAGAAGTTTTTTAAAATTATTAATTTCTCACTTATAATGAATATGAAAACAACAGATAAATTCATAAAAAATAGCAAAAAAGTATAAATGAACATTATTTAATTTTTTGAAGCGAAATTTGAAATTGTTACATAACCTTCTGTATATTCCGATTAAAGTTTTGTTGTTTTTTTTATGAATTTATGTGTTGTTTTCATATTTATTATGAGTGAGAAATCATAATAATTTTAAAAAAGTTCTTAGTGTAGGGAAATATAATGATAATAAATAGAAAAAATCAATCTAAATAACATTATGGGTTGGTATTTATCAATTTCCTACGTTTTCAGTTATAAAAATGGCAGTAAATTCATTAAATATTGGTTGGATAACTTTTTTTTTATGAATCAGCCCATTTTTCTCACTACTTTTGGCAATTTGCTCGAAAAAATAAAAAAAAAAACGATTTTTTTCAAAAACTGTCCTTTGACGACTCCTACTGGTGAACCAATGCGAGTTACAAAAAAAAACTCAAAAGCAATTTTAAAGAGCGTGAAATTCCCCATAAGGTGTATTAAACCGATTTGCAATATTGTCAAAGGTGGGTAAGCATTAGAAATTTGAAAAAAAAACATTTTTTTTACATGCATTTTAAATGGGAAAACTTTAAATTTAAACTGCAAGTACTTAAAATTGATATTAAGAGCTCTACCTTGGTGAAAATTTTTTTTTCTATAGGTAGATTAATATTTTGCTTGAGCACCGAAAAAAAACAAAAACTTTGCGGAAATGAATCACCCTACTCTGTATACATAACGAGAACATTTATAAAAAAATAAATTTATTGTAAGAGTTGGTAAAAACACCAAATTACTCCTTTATAAAAGTATTGCTGCACCACACCTACAGTTTTGCTCAACCTACTAAATTATAAAATTTGACAATTTTAAGTAATTCAAAATAGAACTTTCAGAACAATTT